CCTGGACAGACTTGGAGAGGGGACCATGAGTTCAACAAGACCAAGTGCAAGGTGCTGCACCTGGGTCAGAGCAACCCTGGCACCAGCACAGGCTGGGGATGGGCAGATCACAGCAGCCCTGCCCAGAAGGACTTGGGGGTGCTGGGGATGAGAGGCTGGACATGACCCAGCCATGGGCACTGCCAGCCCAGAGAGCCACACGTGTCCTGGGCTGCATCCAGAGCAGGGTGGGCAGCAGGGCCAGGGAGGGGATTCTGCTCCTCTGCTCTGCTCTGCTGAGAGCCCACTGCAGTGCTGCATCAGCTCTGGGGTACCCAGCATGGGAAGGGCATGGAGATTTTGGAGTAGTCCAGAGGGGGCCATGAAAATGATCGGAAAACTGTAGCATTGCACCTATAAAGACAGGCTTAGAGACTAGGGGTTACTCAGCCTGGGGAAGAGATGGCTCAAGGGGTACATTATTGAGGCTTTTTTTGGCACTTCAGGGAGCAGGTAAGAAAGATGGGGACAGACGTTTTAGTAGGCCCTGTTGCGGTAGGACAAGGGGTAATGGTTAAAATGTAAAGGGTAGATGTAGACTAGACATATGGAAGTTCTTTGCAGTGGGGCTGGTGAAATGTTGGAACAGGTTGCCTAGAATGGTAATATCTCCATGTCTGTAAGCATTCGATGTGTCAGTTTGGATGAGGCTCTGAACAACCTGATCTAGTTGAAGGAGTAATCTGCTTATTGCAAGGTATTTGACTAAATGATCTTTAAAGGTCCCTTCCAACCTAATTTGTTCTATGTATCTGTATCTTACAGCAATTTGATGTGTTTCGATGTTTACTATTCATCTTTTCTTGCAAGTGAATTTGCCAAGGTAGGTATGGAAACAAATGGAAGATACCGTCTACACAAATGGAAATGGAATGAAAATATGAAAACACAAATGCCATTTATGGTCTTGATGTCTAAGAATAGTAAAATGAAATTTGGAACACTTACATGACTGACGAGTTGTATTTTAAGCTCCACTGGATTTCCTACCTCTGCATAGAAAGCTAATATTTGTTCAGGTGACAAATTTGCCAGACTTACCTGTTCTTTGTGAATAATAGGTTTTTTTCCCATTTAATGAGTTTTTTTTTACATTATATAGTAATGTAAAAAAAGTTCTTCAGTACTGACATAACTAAGTTACAGAGGAGCTAGAAAAAGATACTGTTATTGCCAGTGTAGTGCCTGTTGTTCATTTTCTGATTTTATTTAATTAAAATATTAATATAAAGCTTTATTTTTTTTTTTTTTTACTTTTGAAGTAGGCTGCAGTTTGAATAAAATAGGAAGAAAAGTTCCAGATAAGACTTTGTAGTGGTCTCTTGTGCTGGTGAATGTTTGAAATGCTTTACAGCAGTGTCAAGCACACATATTTTTGTTCTACAAGTTATAAAGTAATTTATTTATATGAAAATATAATTTTTTTTTCAGCAGTGTATTATCTTATGCTTCAGAATCTACTATTTTGAAGTATTAAGATGGAATGTAATAAACTGGAATACTTAAAATGGTTAATTGCATATTGTATTGGAGGGGATGTAGCACTGGATGTCCTGTTATAAGAAAGGACGTTAATCTGCTTATATGGGAAAGGGAGCATTTATTGCACATGGCATTATCCTTGACTTGTAGGTCATTTGGAAATAACCAGTTTGAGTTGTCTTTGAAATATAGTTAATAAATTACCTTGCCACAGAGCAGATAGTTACAGACAAAAAGCCTGTCTGTTACTATTCTTTTAATGTACTTTTCATATGGAATATTCTTGCAGCTCTTTGTTGCAACTAAGGAATACCTCCTTAACCCCAAATATTCTTGTGGCTCAGAAGCATAGTGTATAACCGGAAAAGAGGCAATGCAACCAGAATTAGACTGGGATTCAAAAAGAATAGTGAATTTAAACTTCCCTGTCCTGTGTCCAAGCATCTGAATTACATGGGAGAAATGGAGAGATGATCTAGTTGGTCATTTTGCTGCTTTTATCAAGGCTTCAACTGAACATTTCCCAACAAAGACAGTGATATCTTCCCTGGACTAATTCTGCCAATGAGTAAAACATTTTATTACTAATTCATTACTGGATCATACATTCTAAATTCCTTAGGTATTTCAAAAGATAGGCTTGAAGACCATGCTGCTAGAATTTACTAAGTTGTATTGTTGAAGTTGTTCAAGGCCGAGTAACTAATGATGTGAAAACATTTGAAAAATACTGAAATCCTTAGATTTTAGAAAATACTGAAATCCTTATCTTCTAACATTATGATTAAGCTATGTAGACTGTTTAAAATATAAGAAACTGAAGAAAACTTACAAAAATGAAAATCAGAGATAACTGGTCCATACTTGATGGGGTCAGTTACCTCACAAATAGGGATGTAGACAGAGCAGAGGCATTTAATGCCTTCTTCACTTCTGTCTTGGACACAGGTCATAGGCTGTGGATTCACAGAGGTCTCTCCAAGAAGGCCATGACTAGAGGGACTGCCCAGCTGACTCTGAACTTGTCTGAGGCTTCTTCAGCTGGATGTGCATGAATCTATGGGCCCCAATGAGATTCATCCTGGAGAACTGAAAGAAGTGGCTGATGTTATTGCAGGATCTCTCTCCCATATACTCAACCACCTTGGGAGTCTGGAAAGTCCCAGTCTACTTCAAGTGGCAAATATTGTCCCAGTTTTTAAGAAAGGTGAGAAGAAATGTTGGTAATTACTATCCATCTCACTGCACTGCTTGGTAGAACTATGGTTAAGGTAATCCAGGAGTTACTGAAAAACAATGGAGTGACAATGATCAGCAAGGGCTCATGAGGGGAAGGTCCTCCTTGACAAATTTAATTCCCCTTTATGTCAAGCTCAACCATCTAGTTAATGATAGAAAGCCAATGGATGTGGACTATAATTTCATAAATTCACTTGGGGAAGTTTCTCCAAGCTGTGATGCTTGGGGAACAGGGTGGAGTTAGAAGAGGAGGAGTAGGAAGAGTAGTAGTAAACAAATACTAAGTAGCAGTACTACTAAGTTCAAGAAAACACCTCACTGCCTCCTTGATGATGATAAAATTTTGTAAAATTACTTTGTGTATGTTGAAAGCTAAGCATTCATCTGAACATTTTGATCCTAATTAATTAAGTAGTAGTTGTCAAATAAGATTCTTTCCCTTCAGCTGTTTTTAGTAGCGAATATATTCAAGCAGAAACCATTTAGCACATTGTGAAAAATGAAGTAATGTTACTCAGTGACAGAGAAGCCCTAGGCAACAGTAATTTCATTGATGCTTGGATGTTTTATGAATCAAAAGACAGTCTCTGCAGTGTATATTTTTTTCTTTTGTTACTTGAATGTGATTTATAAAAACTTACTCATCATAAGTTTTGCTAGATACATAGTCCCAGTACATACATAAAGCTTGCCTAAGTCCTTATTTACATGATAGAAATGCAGAAGGTGGTTTCCTCTGGAACTGAGGCCTGACAGTATCTTATAATAATATTGCATTGTTACATTGGAAACGATGTAAATTAACCTTTAGATAATAATTCTTGTATCTTTTTCAGTTGTCAGTATTTGGCATTGACATCCTAAGTTTACAGCTGCTGCAGGTGTGCCTATGTTTGTATTCTTTTCTAGGATAACATGCACGTGGATATAGCTTGTTATATTCAGTGGTGAGTGAATGTAGCAACTGAAGTAAAGTAATCCTTATGTATGCTTCCAGTAAATTATACTGGGGCTGGATGTAGAGGAAGATGCTATAAGATGGTTGCAAGCCATCCCTAACCTGGCTGCACCCCATCAACCTGTACCTCTTTTCCTTCTGGTAAGTTTGGCTTTCCAAAGTCCTGATCACCCCACAACCTATCAGGTTCTCTCTGTAATTTTGGAGTTGTGGACTTTTGTCCCTACTTCCTTGTAAAGATGATTTTTATATGAACAGCCAAACAAAGCGAAAACAATAAAAAGTTGCAAATTTTAGAAATGAATGCACACCTATGTAAAGCCATTAATTTCTTGCCGAAAGACACAGGATGGTAATGGGGTTTTACTGCCTTCTTTCTCTCCTTTAGGGTTTTGAGAAGTAGCTCATTTTTCCACAGAACTGAGAGGGGAACACGTCTTCGAGTCAAAAATATTAATATGAAGGAGTTGGATGAGTCAGGCACATTCCCCTCCTCTCTCAGATGAAAACACAAAACACTTTGCTTCAATGGCAACCTTTTTATACCCTTTTGAGGAAAAGGTGGGAGGGAGGTTCCTCATCCCTTTCCCATTGATTGAGTATTTAGGGACTTAACAGTTTCTCCCCTCCACTTACCCTTCTTTCCTCTCCCCTTTCACCTTTCTCCTTTTTTGGTTATGTGTTCAACGTTGCTTCTTTATTGGTTCCCAACAGCACTTAACAGGTGCAATGAACAGATCAAATAAACCATACCTAAACCATTGGTAACAACAAGTAGAAACCAGAATGAACACTTTTCCTTCGTTTACCCCGGAGCTCTTTTGGGCTGAAGCAAAATCCTATTTCGTCTTGCACAGGGAGGTATCTTTTTGACCTTTGCTCTGTTGCAGCAGTCTAATTTGCTTAATATTAATCTAATGCTGCTGTTAAAAAGAAAGTATGCTCTCCATCTACAGCAAACAGGTTATGAATTAAGTTACAGCATAGCAAGAGGAAACTTGCTCAGTCTCTACCCCCAGCCTGGTACTCATATCCGTACATCTTCAGTGCTTCACTGTCCTTAACCAGTGAAACAGGTTGGCAGAAAAGCCTTCAGAAGTCTACATTAGATAGTTTTAAGAGCAGCTGAAGTTACGTATCATGTATACTTGGCAGCTGAGAAGCTAAGATGTGGTGTGGTTTGTCGAGATCCATGCTCTGTGCAACACGAACCACGCGTGGAAGGGCCGGGCAGCAGGCTGACCAACCAGCCCGTTGCGTGGGCAGCTCTCAGCCCAGCGCGGGTGGATGCGGGAGCGCGGCCCGGGGCGCGGAGCGCTCCAGAGCCCGAACGGGAGCGCGGGGCGCGCACATCCTGCGCTCCGCCGGCAGCGCCGCGGCGGGGGCGGCGCATCCGCGGGCCGGGCGCGGCTCGGCAGCAGCGCCTCCGTGCCCGGCGGCGGCGGAGCCGGCCCGGGACACTGCGCTAGGTAAGGCGGCCGCAGCACCTGCTGCCCGGCAGCCCAGGCGGCGAGCGGCGGCTTGTCCCGAGCCTTCGCCGGCGGAGCTCCGAGGAGCTGCGGCGATGCTGCGCCGCTGGGACCGCGTCCGTCCGCTGGCGGTCGCGCAAAGCCTTTGCGTGCGCTGTCTTTCGCCTTCAGAGCCCCAAAAGGCGGAGGGGTTTTTGAGTAGGGCTTTGTTGTAGTTTTGTTGTTGTTATTTGTAAATATCTGTTGTTGTTTGTTTTCCTGTTTTGAGTTCACTACTTTGCCATAAGAGCTACTCCTTTTTCCCCCCCTAGTTTTTGCCGCAGTGGGGACAAGATATTTGGTCTTGATCATGAAGGTGCTTTCTCATACAGAGCGGAAGCAGCTTTTAACTACGTTACTCTTAACTTTTTTTAATAGACAAAAATGTAAATAAGAGCTTCTCTAATAGTAAAATTATGAAAAACATGTTTCAAAGCAGTTCTTGATAGTGTTTTGTTGGGGCACTGCTGTGCTCACCTTACAGATATGCCAGGCTCTAAAAAGCCTTCATTTTTATGGACTTAACTCCTGCCTCTGTACAAAAACGAAGTTCTTCTCATAAATCTTTTAAGGCACACATATGTGACCGAAAACCTACCAGATGTTTTATTTTACAATATTAATTTACTAATTTCTGCACATTATGGAAATAGGATATCGGGGCATTTTACTAAGACAGATTTTTCCACATAAGTAAAGATGGAATTGTGTTCTGTGAACTCGGTATGAAAAATTGACAGGACAACATCTTGTGGAAATATTAGACCACTTAAATGCTTTTGTTTTTCCACAATGGGTTTGAATATTAACTGAAACAAAGAAAGTGATTGTGCAGGTGTATCTTGATAATAGGCAACTCATCTGGCCTTCTCAGTTAACTTGCAAATTAGACATTTATGCCAACGATTTGCCGAATTTTAAAAAACTTACAGATTTGCCTACCAACTAGTTGAGTTGTATCTTTCAAGCTTAGCATCATTAAGATAAGCAGATACCCCCAAACTACATTAATAGTAAAAAGAAGGCTATAAGGTAGAATAGCCGCCCTTCTCAATGGAAGCTGCTGCTTTGATTATTAGAATTACATTTAATGAATTTTGGTATAAAAATTTTTTTATAGTTCGTAGTGTAGAGCTTATTGCACAGTTCTAGCTGTCCATGAAGGTGGAATACCAGCTATAAAAGTATATTTAAATACAGAGAGTATCCTCTTGCTTTGTTAATTATAGCAGTTTGGTGGATGATAAAATGTGTGGGACTATGAAGTGTCACAAGCTAGCACTAGAGCCGTCATTTGAATGCATTTGTAGAACCAAAAGTTTTTGGTCCATTTCTTTCATTTCTTTGCTACATTGTACAACTGTGCTGCATGAACTCTTTAAAGGGTTTGCTGTTGCTCTGATCCCACGGGTTCACAGTGCCCAAACTAGGGAGTAGTAAATGGTAAAGCCATTAAAAATTTCAGAATTAAAAAACTACTGCCTCTGTCAAAATGGCTGTTAAAAGTTGTGAGGTAAGAGTCATGTCCCACAATGTTAACAACCATGTTTCATTTGTTTGAGTAACCTTAGTAATAAATTTGATTTTATTTTTCAGTAACGTATAACCCACATTTCACATTTTTAAGGTTTCTAAACTCTAGGGCCCCATTTTCTTTTTAGTTGAAATGAAAATGCTGTATTAAGAAAGATAATACAGGAATACATGAAGAATATATTTTACCAACCTCAATAGCAGGCTTCTGTCAGAAGAGAATTTTTTTCCTTGTTTTAAAACCCAAGACTGTTCTTGAAAGGTGAAAAAGTGTGGTCATTTTTTGGAGACTCTTTAATTCCCTTCTAAGGATCACAAAATTGCTGCGCTTTTTTGTATATGTTTTGGTATTTCAATAGCCCTGAATGGGTGTTTTTTTTTTTTTTTTAATAAGATTTAAGCTTCTGTTTGTCTCAGATTTTTGAAGAGTGACTTTTAAAAGGTGGTTAGCTGCATTTCTTCTGTTCAGTTGCCTTCAAGAGCAGCTAATATCTGGTGAAGGAATCAGCACTAGTGCAAACTGCTTAATGATAAATGTGATAGGGAGAGGTTTATTTAATCTCTCAGTTTGAATAGTGTTATAAGGCAGTAAATGAATGTGCTTGTGAAGCTATGAGCTGAGGGTTCTGCTTTGTCCCCTCCCTATCCCCCAATGCTCTAGATGTTCAGCAGACCCCAGTGGAAAAATGAAAGATCATGTCAAAAACCTTGGCTGTAAAGTTAAATCTCTGGTTTTGGGAATGTAGTATTTATTATGCATGTATTTTCATGCATGCATGCATAATAAATACTTGCTCATTTTTTCCCTATAATTTATTTTGTCCAAGATCTTTTGGTCAGATCCAGAAAAAAGATCTATACTTAAAAAAATGTTTTGTACCACATTTGACCTGATGGCTGTGCAGTGTAGTTCCTGGTGCTGGGGTAGCTGTGAGTGAACCTTTGGTGCTCTAACATAACATAACTCAGATGGAATCTATAAATTCAGGACCACAGTTTAGTTCTGTTGCAGTGCTTTTACTGTGGGAGCTGTGGGATGAGTGTTACTAATGGGCACTGGCTTGTCTGTGAACATCATACTGAAATCTCACAGGTTTTGAAGAGTGTTAAGATCTGAGAAATATAAACAGACTATTTGCATGGTCAAAAAAAATAAAATGGTGATAATGGCTAGTTACACAGTCAACAAGCAGAAGAGAACTCAGCAGAAAACCTCTTGATCTGCATGTGCTGCTGACTTCCACAAGATGTTTTGTGAAGACAGACGTGTTGGATTTTAAAGCATTACAAATGATGCTCTGGGGATTCCTGCCTGCCTTCCAGTGGCCTCTGGGTGGGATGCATCCTTGCTTTATTGTTGTTTTGGTTGACCACAAACAGTGATTTAATGTGCCTGTCTTGATATAGCGGTAATAAGACTAATTCTTAGCGTTTTATAGGTATGAGTTTTAGTGTGACCATTTAGGGTTTATTTACATAGTATGATATTTTTGACATTCAGTCAGTTGCTTTGCTGTTATGAGGCAGCACGTCTGTGGCACAGAATTGGGAGATTGTGATCTGAAAGGAGAATGTAGCAGAGTACAAGCAAAGACCTTATGTTTTGTTAGCTTTAAATTGATATATGGGAGTATGAAATTCATGTTTTATACCACTGCTTACACTTTTCATCTGTCTGTAAGGCACAGGTTTTTTGCACAAACTGTGATCTGGTGCAGCTCAATGAGCTGTGGGAGGCTTGCTGGGGCAGCCACAGAGCAGGAAGTTCAGTGAAGTTTGTACAAGTATCTGCTGGATTGCAGAGCGGCATCAAAGCCAGATCCCTGTCTTCACCTTCTCTGTCTCTTTCTTCCACTGTGATATGCTTTATTTGCAGGGAAGAGGAGAGAGTCAAGTCGCTGGTTGTGAGCTGGATTGCTGCAGGATCAGGAAGTGCCCTTCTGTGTTTAGGAAAATGCTGATTATAGACAGTAAGTGCTAGGATAGCCAATAGTAATCACAGTGTTGGCTGGAGGTTCACCTTGTCTACTGGTAGAAAAGCCTTTCTGTTGATACTTAAATAATGCTTCCCCTTATCTAATTTTTTGTACAGAGAAAATGTAAATGTAAATCTATTCTGTATACAGAATAAAAATGTTTGATAACTGACATCTTTAAGTGCAGTTAAGTAAATAATGGATGTTTTTATATTCCATTGGTTTATTTTCTTATTGTGGTCCTTCTAACATATCATAATATTTGGGGAACCCATGCTGTAAAATGCTTAAATTTATAATGTTGAAAAAATTTGAATATATGACAGTTCCATAATTGACAACCAGTAAATAAAATATTGTGTGAAGGATATCGGAATTATATATTTCAACTATGGCTGAAACCTCTGCTGCAGTTTGCATCAGATTACAATATGTGATTCTATTAAATTAACTGCTAAACTGGATGCTGAGAAGGGTTTTTTTTTTGTGTATAGATGAATTCTGTTACTGCTGTCACTGGCAGCATGGGCAATGCCTGAAACCAGACCTGTTTGGTAGATGCCTGTCATGCTGGTTTCTGTGTCAGAGGCACAGATGTCAGAGGAGGGGATCAGGTGTTGCTCTGTGAAATTATGTGCATTCATGATGTTGGGAGCTTGACCCTCCCCTTGCTGTGTGGAGTAGGACTCTGCCTTAGCCCTGGAGAGGATTTGTCTGCGTGGCACCTTGTGTGCACTGGGGGCCAGGCCTTTTGTGGACGTGGGCAGTTCTTTGCCGTACAGAGGAGGGGAATGGTGAGTAGTAAGCTGCATGTGATGGTGTCTCTTTCAGTCCCTTGATCTGAAATGGAGGTTGCACAAGCACTGTGCTGTAGCCAGAGCTGAGTATTTCCTCCCTACGTGCATCCTCTTCTTCCTGCCTCTCCCAGCCACTTCCAGAAGCCAGGCTGAGTTACTGTAAGCCCCAGACAGAGGAAAGACGTGAGCCATTCATGTGAAAGATTTTCTAAACAACCAGCATTCTTCAGAGTGTGAGAAAAGCAAAGGAAGCCAGTTAGTGCTGTGTGTTTCTATTTATTGATTCTTCTGCAGAAAGCAACTAGCACCATTAGGTACTCCTTTGCATCCAGGAATATATTGTAAGCTGGTTTGTCAGGCAAGTAGACAGGCAGTACTGATACTCTTTCAGCATGGCTCTAGTCAGTGCTGTATGAAAAACCTTGGTTGGTTCTGATGAGTTTATTAATCCACTCAGGATTCATGCTGAGCTAGGTACTTAGTATTTCCGCTTGCTCAGGCTCCCAGGGGATCCACAGTGTGATGCAAGCAAAGGGTGGAGGGAAGCCAAGATGGCACCATCCCTCCAGTGAGTTTTGTTTGTATTTGCCAATACAAAACAAGTTTGTTGTACTGGTGATGCAATTTTTATCCTCCAGAGGAAGTGCTAAATTATGTTTTCTTGCTCACACTTTCTGTAGAATAGGTAGACTAGACAGAGGAGATGGATGTTGAGATACATCTCTCAAGGCTTTGGAGGTCAGAATAATCATTTGACAAAACCATCCAAGAGTAGTTCTTACTCGCTTGGCATGGTATAATGATTGGAATATGCTCATGTTTTCTTGCAGTGGAGATGGTGGATTTTAGTTTGGATGTGTTCCTTTAAAGACTGAGAACCATTGTAGGTGGAGGAGTTTTATACATTGGAATAGAGCAATGGTGTCAGATGGCTGACTGATGTGTCTCCTGTTTCAGCCATGAAGTGATGCCCACTTCAGAAGAGCAGCAGTAATTGTGAGGTCTGGGATAGATATTAATATGTGTCATCTATTCTGTCAGTCATCTATTCTGTCTGTTAACACTTGTGAAAGGCTCTACCTTAAACTACTCCTTGTGGAGCTAATGTTACTGTTTCTTACCTTCTCTTGTAACCCTGTTTTCTTCTGTACCAACAGGGCTGTGCTTCCCGTGCTGCTGCTCTTAAGGTTGGGCTCAGGATGCTGTTGCTGGAAACTGCAGAGCTTTGTCTGTTGAAGTGAGATACCTGGAGTCAGCTGGAGGATACCTCCTTTCTGCACAAAAAATAAGAAACCCCTCTGTCTGAATGTCACTGCTGAATAGGCTCACTGGATTATGGTTCGCCTTGATATCTTCTTCTTACAGAATGAAAGGTTTGGATGTTTTTGGCAGAATCTTTGTAACCAGTGATTTTGTAAAGGATTTTGCCTTGTTTTAGAACTGGAGGAATGTGTGGATTTCTGAATGTACTTGAACTGAGTGGCACCAGAAGATGAGAATTAACAAATTTGAGGTTTAAAAGGACTATATGCATGGATGGTGGGTGGGTAATCTTTGGCTTCAATTTAAGCCATGCATTTAATTTCTGCATTTGTAGGCAGGGAACTTCTCAAATCCTATCTGACTCATACAGTGCTGTATATATACATTAATATGCAATGAGCTGCACAATGTGTAGTTTTTGGAAACTGTTCAGCTGTAAGAACAAGGCCACATCTGAGCTGAGACAGACCTCTCTTAAGACAGGCTTCTGTTTCAGCCTGTTTCAGCAAGTTGAAGAAGACTTGTGCATAGTTGTTGAGCATACCTTATTGCTTGTAAAGATGTTGCTTCTGGTATACTTTTCTCATTTGAAAGGAATACTGCTTTTAGACTGTAAATTTTGAGGGTGTAGTGAATCTCAAATAGAATCACGGAAATCAGAGTTGCTGTGATGACTGTTGTTGTATTAGATCTGGTGATGACTTGTCTCAGTAGTTTGCTATTTATGGTAGTTAAGGCAACCTCTCTTGGGGATGACTTCTATGAAGTTGCTTAGAAAAATCAACACCAGACACTTGGGGTATTGGTGGGGAGTAAAAGTTGCTACAATGCAGTTCAAGTTCAATTTTTTGTTTCTAGAGATAAATGCTGAAATTCCCACTACTTAATTGGCTGCAGGTAGGAGCGTGTCAGCAGCTGGGCTCAGCTTGACCTGTTTTGTTCACTGTTGCTATTATCTGAAACGCATGCAACATGTTAACTAATACCAGCCACCCCTCCTCCAGCTTTACATAGGCATTATTTCAGCAGTGTTTTCTCATTCTGGGGAGATTTGGGCATTTGATAAGCTTAATATCCTTTCCCCCTTCCCCCCCCCCCCCCCCCCCCCCCCGCCCCCCAATTCTGGAAGATGCTGACCTAGTTGGCAGACATGAATTGCACATTATATCAAGGCCTCATCATGGGTGTGTAATAATTCCACCGATTTATTCTGTTTGTAGATGCTGTGACAATGGAGTTAAGCTGCTCTGAATTACCTTTTTATGTAAGTCCTACTACATTAGGCTTCTGCCTGGAGAGTTGATTTTTTTGTTGTTTTGGTGGTTTTGTTTTTTTTTTTTTTTTTTTTTTTGGGTAATAGCTCATTCAAAATCTGGATGAATGAAACTAAAATCCATTCTCTGGTTTTCTGAGACTGCAGGCTGTTGAACGTTGCTGTCTGATGAGGCATATGTGAAAGGAATAGTTTCCAGGAGTGCAGCTCAGCTCTCTGAAGGAAGTTTTAAATTATTTCCCCTTTGTGATAATTATTTTGTTCTCCTTTAGTATTCTCAATTGCAGTTTTCAAAAGCAGTTTTACTGCCTGTGAAGAGACACCTCTCATTCACTTTCCCACAATTTCTAGTTGTTTTTTTCCTTACAAAATTCAAATCTACCATTCTCTCAGTTTCCACAAAGCAGGAAATTTTGTGTTAAGTTAAAAAATAAGTTGAAATTTATAACTGAATGGATATTTTTTCTGCAAAACATGAAATAATTGCTTAAAATAGATGAACTCCAAGTTAAAAACAAGTAGTAACATGAGTGAAGACACACATTAGATAAATTTATTACATGCCTTCAAGGGCATGTGATTGTGAGTATTAAAACTTGGGAACTCTAACAATTATTATTAAAAAAAGGTAATTGTGTTTTTATACCTGTTCTGCTTTGCAATGAAGGTAGCAGGAGTACATGGGTGATGCCTAGTGGGAAAATGAGAGAACACTGAATGGTTTTCAAAATGGGTGTAAAAGATGAAACAAAGACAGAAACAAAACAATTATCTGCTTATTGTTGTGAGATGGGGATGGAAAAGGAGTAATACAAATAATCTGTACCCTGAAGGATTGAAGCAACATATGATTGGTAATGCACCAGCATGATTTTTCATTGTATTTGTCAGCTTCAGACTTGGAGCCTCAGGCTTGCAAAAATTAGATGCAGTATCTTTAAAGGAATCAGGAGAAAAGTATTTTTGAGGCCTGCTCATGTGATGTTTATTGTGTGGTACAAGGCTTTAAAAACAAATTTTTACAGGAAAAGTAATAAGGGATATAGTGATATCTGATCTGACTGATCTGGTCTCTTCCCGTAATAAAGTAACTGACCACTTTGCAAAGGGCAGTGCAGTGGTTTTAATCCAGGTTGCTGAAAACGAAACATTTGATACTGCATCTCGCAGGAAATTCCTATGGATGATAAACAAGGAGAAGATTAATATAAAGAGATAAAGATACATGGGTACTGCAAGATCTCTTAGGATAGAGAGAAAGATAGTCCTTAGGTGTCATACTTAAGGCTACTTTAGTGCTTTGATTATAACCCTATGAGTCAGATGTAGGCTTGCAAAATAGATGTAAATTTATTGACATCAGAGTTTTGGGAGATGCTGGTTAGTTCCAAGAAGAATTCAGTAATTGTATGGGAAGATTGAATTTTCCCACCTGTTATTTATGCCAGTATAAAGTGGAAAGAATGGTAAAACTGTTCATTTGAAGACTAATAATGGTACATCTCTTATGAACAAGGGCCTCACCAGGGGAAGGCTTGGGGTGTATTAGTCACTTGTGTGGTGGATGGGAAAATGTAATTTTAGTTGAGAACATTCACCCCAAGCTTTGCACAAGTGAGAGTCTGTACCAGATCTAAGCTTTGCTAGTGTCATCCTGTGCATCGGTAAATTTCCAGTTGTGGTCCTCAGCCTCGCACCAACCCAAGTGGATAAATCCCAGAGGGGACTCATAACTTGCTAGAAACCCAGAGAGAGCAGTTTGAATCGTCACCAACTCATTTTCTTGTGGAGGCAGCAGATGGAGATGGTGTCTTTCTTCTGGGTCCCCAGTGTCCTAACATGGCTGAGGTTAGTGGAGAAAAATGCGTGGGAAAGATGGAAAGTTTTCTTTCAACCTGCATCTGAAACTTGGAGAAATCTCAGCAGACCTTATACTGATCATTTGAGGTTGATGTATTTAATCTAATGAATTGGTGCCTAAAGTGTTGCAGCTTCACAATCTTGCCCATTACAGTATTGTTCATAATCGGAGTGCCTTTGCAGTGTGTTTGGGAAGATCAAAGAATTCTGACTGTCCTGAAAAAGTCCTTGAGTGAGGGCAGTTATCTTCTTTAGTTAGATCCAATTATTTCATATGTTCTGGAAACTCCTTCTAACTGCTTCTGCTTTATTTGCATTTGTTGGAAAACACAATCAGATCAGAATTTAAATTAAACATGAAAGCCCTTTCTGATTATTCAGCTCCTTTGTCAGTTTTCATTAAGCAGTTCTCTGACAAGCTGAGATTGTCTAAGTGTTGTTCCGTCTCCATTGCCTGAATGCTGCTTTTATGTCCCATAAGCAGGGATAGAGAAAACAACTCTGGAAAAAAACCTGAGGGAACGTGACAAATACTTGCAGTGCTGTGAATTTAGGTATTTCTTTAATGCATTCCAGTCCCTTCTAGAAGGCCACAGTGGAGCTCCAGGATACCATGTCATGGTATCGCACCCTGTTCACACGCAACTTCAAAGACATCAGCACATGGTTCTAACACATTGTTTTCCACAAGAAAAGTGGAGAATATCAAAAGGTTAGGAATTAATCTCTTCTTTCCAGCTTCTGTGAAAGCACATGTTTTGTTCATTGAGAGAGGGAGAAATCTGCTGTATGCTGGGTCCAAAATTATTATGCTTTTTACACTGTATGTAAACATGCTTAGCATCTATATCTACTGGATTTTACCTTCTTCTTTGTGGTAAGAATGCCTGTTTTGAGAGGTTTGTATTTCATGTCACATTATCTGAAAATAACTGCAGCTTTTTGTTTATAATACGTATTTTTAAAGATTATATGCAGGGTACTTTATTGACTCACTGTATGTGAGCAGCTGTTAACACAGCTGGAGCATGTGTCCATATAGTGTGGCTACTTCAAACTGAATCACTTCAGCATGAAGTGTGACACTGAATTACTGAATTTCTTGCCAAATCTAAAATAGTGTGTGTAATCTTGTTGGCCTAGTGATGGCTGCTCTGTTTTGTTACATGACAGGGAATGCTTTGTGAAAGCTCAAGGACCTTGCTGATTTAATATAATTTTTGTGAAATATTTAAAAATACTCTACCCAATTACTCCATTTTGAAAATGCGCTGTTTAGTACACTTCTGTATTGAATTTTGGTAGCAGCAGTACATTAAAATCTAATTGCAACACACATCTATGCCATGATTTAAAAAAATATTTGAAGCACATTCCCTCAGTTAATTTGAGAAGCCTGTTTCTGGCTTCTAGACAGCAAATTACTGTTAACCATTCTATAAAATTACTCTTTATAAGGCAATTTAATTTTCATCATTAAGTAGTCAAGAATACACCATCAGTTAATAGACATCTCTTTTTCAATGCTAATAATATATCATTTAAATATATAGAACTTTATTGTAAGTAGCTTTTGCTGTCCTAAATTATACTTTTTTAAAACTGATACAAGTAAAATTATATTTAGCCAATTCTATCTGTAAGAAGAGCAGCAAGCTCAGTTTTTAATTTCACTGTGTGCTAAAGACAGTACGTGGAATAAGACCTCACTATATTCAGGCAGACACTGGTCTCATTGTAGATGGAAAAAAGGCTATTCATGAAAAATGGAAGATAAAAGCAAAATACTTGATGAAACACTCTTCAGATATTAAAGAATTTATGTATGGCAGTTGTTCCTCCTATTGTAAGCAGTTTTTAGTGTGGAGAAACAAATCTGGAAAATCATTCCTTCTTATTTAATGGTAAGCAACTGGGGTTTGTTAGTTTTAAGGAAATGTTACTGGTTACCAACTTTGATCTTTGACATAGGCAAAGAAATACATTACTGCCATGGGGCAAACATACTGTGGAAGTAGCGAGCTTCTAAGAGCAGTAAATAAGTGTTTGCAGAAGTTTGTAAATTACTCTCTGCTGGGAGCCTTAAAAATGTTTCCCATGGGAGCAGGAGATAAATAAACAAATGCTGAGCCACAGAGTATATTCCCAGCAGTTTTGTGAGGACACTAAAGGGACCTCATCACCCCAGGAGATGGTGCTGCAGGTTCTGTAGCTGCCTTTCCAAAGGAACTTTTGGGTGTTAATCCTTTGGGAAGAGGCAGAAACACAGGCCCCTGCCTTCGAGACTCAAGATCTCCTGGAAATTAAAACTTCCACTTGCTCTTGTGCTGCAAGGTGCTTATTATTCTCAAAATGTACTTGCCTAAGGTATCACGTGCTCCTGTGTACAGCCACTGGAACTGGCTTAAAGTCTTCAAGGTCTAAGCTTAATTAACTTCTCTTGTGTTCTGTTATACAAACTCTCCCTCTTAAGGTCCCTGCTCTGATGTTTTTACCTGGGGACGGTTTTGTTTCTGACACTGT